TGGCACTCTGGCCCAGAGCTCACCCTGCACGGGGCTTAAATACCCTTAATTGCTGATGGGAGTCAGCTGCACCGGAGGGAAAGGTGGCATCTCAGGCAGGAGGTAGTGGGACAGCCCACACAGGCACCCTGCAGGAGAGGAGAAGCAAGAGAGAGCGAGAGAGAGCGGCCTCTGCTAGGGCCGTAACAAAGGAATTGAAATTACGTTTCACACTGTCCCATGCGTAGACATTGACAACAATAAGTGCAGATGCACAACAAAAACAGCCCTAACAATAAGGTAATAAATAGTAATATAATAATATAAATAGTGCTAAAAGAATACTAAAAATATATATATAGCAGCAGGTGTGCTAGCAATTGCAATGCAAGATGCAGGTAGTGTTTCAGTCAGGTTTTCAGTTCAGAGAGTGTTCCCTTGTTGGAGAGTGTGCGTGGGTGGGGGCCAATCTGTCTATACTTCTGCCAATCTGGTGATTCTGCTGGCTGGGAGCCGGGAGGGAAGAGAGTTCAGCAGTCTCACAGCCTGGTGGATGAAGCTGTTGGTGAGCCTGGTAGTGCGGGAGCGGAGACTTCTGTATCTCTTTCCAGAGGGCAGGAGGCTGAACAGACAGTGCGCGGGGTGGGTTGCATCGTTGACAATTGTGATGGCTTTGCGGGTGAGGCGAGTGGTGTAAATGTCTTGCAGGGAGGGGAGTGGTACACCAACTATCCTCTCAGCTGTTCTCACAATGCGTTGTAGAGCTTTCCTGTTATAGTCAGTGCAGCTACCGCCCCACACAGTGATGCAGCTGGAGAGGATACTTTCAATAGTTCCTCTGTAGAATGTAGTCAGGATGGGTGGTGGAGCACTTGCCCGCTTGAGTTTGCGCAGGAAGTAGAGGCGCTGTTGTGCTTTCTTGGCCAGTGATGCTGTGTTGGTGGTCCAGGAGAGGTCCTCACTGATGTGCACCCCCAGGAACTTGGTGCTGCTCACCCTCTCCACCGCAGCGCCGTCGATGGTCAATGGGGGGTGACAGGTGTGGCCTCTCTGGAAGTTGACAATAATCTCCTTGGTCTTACTGACATTTAGCAGGAGGTTGTTGTCTCTGCACCACGTGGTCAGGAGCTCAACCTCTTTCCTGTAGTGGGTCTCATCGCCCTTGGTGATGAGCCCCACCAGCGTTGTGTCGTCCGCAAACTTCACAAGGTGGTTGGAGCTGTAGGTTGGTGTGCAGTCATGTGTCAACAGGGTGAAGAGCAGAGGACTGAGCACACAGCCTTGTGGAGCCCCCGTGCTCAGGGTGATGCTGTTTGAGACCTTGTTGCCCACACGCACCGCTTGAGGCCTCTGGCTGAGGAAATCCAGCAGCCAGTTGCAGAGGGAGGTGCTGAGGCCCAGTCTGTCCAGTTTACAGATGAGTTGTTGTGGTATTATGGTGTTGAATGCTGAGCTAAAGTCTATGAACAGCATTCTCACATATGAGTCTTTCTTGTCCAGATGAGTTAGGGCTGGGTGGAGGGCAGAGCAGATTGCATCCTCTGTGGATCGTTTCGCTCTGTATGCGAACTGGTTGGGTCCAGGGTGGGAGGTAGGGTGGATTTGATGTGTGACATGACTAGTCGTTCAAAGCACTTCATAATAATGGGTGTCAGTGCCACGGGGCGGTAGTCATTGAAACAGGCTGGGGATGGTTTCTTTGGCACAGGTATGATGGTGGCAGTCTTGAAGCATGATGGGACAGTGGCTTGCCTCAGGGAGGTGTTAAAGATGTCTGTGAAGACATTCTTCAGCTCCTCTGCGCAGTCTTTCAGCACACTACCAGGGATGTTATCTGGACCCGCTGCTTTCCGGGCGTTGATGGTGATGAGTGTCCTCTTCACGCTGGCAGCAGACAGGCACAGAGGCTGGTCGTGTGGAGGTGGTGGTGTTTTCTGTGGGCGTGTGTTGTTCTGTGCTTCAAATCGTGCAAAGAAGCTGTTCAGGTTGTTGAGCAGAGTGGTGTCGCTCTCACAGCTACGCGCTACAGGCTTGTAGTCTGTAATAGCCTGGATGCCTTGCCATAGGCTTCTTGCGTCCTTGCTATCATTGAAGTGGGAGGTTATCTTGTGTGTGTAGTCCTGTTTCGCTTTCCTGATGCCACGGGACAGGTTGGCTCTCGCTGTTCTCAGGCCTATTTCATCCCCAGCTCTGAAGGCCTTGTCTCTGGCCTTCAGCAGCCTGTGGACATCTCCTGTTAGCCATGGCTTCCGGTTGGCTCGAGTTGTGATACTTTTCACTTGTGTTACATCATCAATGCATTTGGTGATGTATGAGCTCACCGTGTCTGTGTACTCCTCGATGTCTATGATGTTATTGTAGGTGGCTGCTTCCTTGAATATGTCCCAATCAGTTGACCCAAAGCAGTCTTGAAGAGCAGAGGTGGCCTCCTGTGGCCACACTCTTACCTCTTTCATAACAGGTTTGATGACCTTCACTCTCTGTCTGTATGCTGGCATTAGCATAACAGTGAGGTGATCAGAGGTGCCGATGTGGGGGAGGGGGATGGCTTTGTATGCTCCTTTTTCCTGTGTGTAGACCAAGTCCAATATGTTGTCTCCCCTTGTTGGAAAATGTACATGCTGATGAAACTTTGGGAGAACAGTTTTAAGATCAGCATGATTAAAGTCTCCTGCGAGGATGATGAAACCGTCTGGGTGTGCTGTTTGTTGCTCACTGATGGCCTGATACAGTTCGTTCAGCGCCGCATTTCTATCGCTGTTGTTGCTAGATGGAGGTATATAGTAGCGACCAACAAGATCGAACTTACCTCCCTGGGCAAATAGAAAGGGCGACACTTCACGATCATGAACTCCGCCAGTGATGAGCAGTGTTTGCGTACTACAGTGGCATCACGACACCACTCGTCACGGATGTAAACACAGACCCCGCCACCTCGGGTCTTGCCTCCGTCTACGGGAGCCCTGTCGGCTCTGTGAAGAACAAAGGCTTCTGATGAGGTACCGTTGGTATAGACTGAAGCAGTCCGATTAGTGTAAATGAGCTTGATACAATGAATAAAGTTAGGACCAAAACCAAACCTCCAAAGTGTGTGAAAACGATAATCCCACTCAATCCGATCGAACGCCTTTTTGGCGTTAAGCGATATTACTGCTTCTGGGGATGGAGTATCAGCCTCAGTATAGATGATATTAATATCTCAAAAACCAAAGCAGCACAAATGATAATTGTACCTGCACAAATCTGCAAAAACGAAGCACTAACCGCTCTAATGCCTCTCTAACGCCTATTTGCCTTTACTTTTCATGTTGGTGGGGCGTCAGCTTCACTCTGGCTAAAAAATCCCCTCTTGCCCCCTCCAGGCGGTCTTTATCCTTCAAGTTCAGGTCCTCTACCAGAGGCCTGGGAGCTTGAGGGTCCTGCGCAGTATCTTAGCTGTTCCTAGGACTGCGCTCTTCTGGACAGAGATCTGCAATGTGTTCCTGGGATCTGCTGGAGCCACTAGCTTGCAGGTCACTGCACTGAGTACTCCGATTACCACTGGGACCACCGTTACCTTCACCCTCCAGATCTTCTCTTCTCTGAACCCTTAGTACTTCTCCAGCTTCTCGTGCTCCTTCTTCCTGATGTTGCTACGGCCCTCTTCTTCTCCATCTCTACCACCACTATGTCCAGTTGGTAGTGTAGATTCATTTAAAATAAATGTATGGCTATTCTTACAAACACTGTTATAAAATAGTGAACACCAAGTCACTTATCAAAATATCAAGTTTAATGTCTTAAATTGTTCAGACAAAAAGCCTTGAAAGTATCAACAAAAAACAGAAAAATGGAAACAAGAAAAGGAAAACAATCCACCAACAACAGTCTCATACATAAATATAGTACCAACAAAAACATTTTAAAACTCAACCCTTGCACAAACATGTATAAAATACAACGTGCAGTAAAATACTGTATTTACATATATGCATTAGTTCAATTTTCTCATCATAAATTGGGCTTTGCCCTACTGGTGAAACCATTACATACAAACACTTTTGGTGAATGTACAGCCTGAGGAAAGAAAACTCACAAACACAACAGCCATGTCTTGCTCACTAATGCAAATTGCGCAAGGGTGCACTGCTTCTTGTCACAATCTTCCTTATACTGTAATGAAAACAGTCTTTCTATTACTGTGCTTCCGCTTACTGTTGTCCTATAAGAAGTTAAAGTAGACAGATAACTTGTATCTCTTCTTATATCCCACTGTGGGTGGTATCACTCAGTGGTTTGCCCTCTGATAAATTAATGATGACTAATCAGGTGGCAGTGTGCGACAGCTGCATTCTGTCAAGTGTTGTTGGAGCACTGCAGTGTCTTTCTATCGTGGTTTCGATACCACAACATTCGTCATCTATTCATAACTACTTAGCTATTTCATAGCTTCAGGGAATCTTATAAAATTGCAACAGAAGTAAAAAAAGCAAAGTTGTTATTTTGAGGGAATCGCTTTTCCAAGGGTCAGTTCAATCATCTTTATCTTTCATTGTGCCAAAGTGGAACATAAATAGTAACTCATATCTGTCTGTGATATTTATTACTTCGGTAGAGAGGTAAATGATTTCCATGGTGCCTTTTGCACTACAGTGAACTCAGTCTGGGCAAACACTTTCAGTTTTGGAGATATATTATGAATCAAAGAGGCAGAAATTCCACATTAGAACAGTGGCAGACTGAGAGACTGTTTGAGTCAGACTGTTAATGCTAAAATTATATCTATATTAATATTCTTCAGTGTGTAGAAAATTTGTAAAAAACAAAAAACAACAACAAAAAACAAACAAACCAAAAAGCAATTTCTGCAAAGAGCTGTCGGTTTCTCTCCACTAGATGTCACTAGATTGCAGCCAACTGAATTTTGTTTTCTTCTCTTCCAATGCAAGTACCTAATGGTAGCTATGGTGGCTGCTGTAGGACAATAAACTCTGGAAACAACTAAATCAACAACTCAAGATTAGAACTAGATTACAAGAAATCTGCACTGATGTATTTTATTGGACTAATTCTAAGTTTATGAGACTGCATCATAATTACATAATAATCAATGTATATTTATAAGGACAACACTTTTTCGATTAAGTAACTTAAAAAATTACTGGGTGTATATTGTGAACTGACCCTTTGAAAGTAAACTCTGGTGGAACCCTTGAAGTAAAATGTATTTTAAATTAACTAAGAGCTGAAACCAGCAGCTCTTAGTTAACTATGCATTTAACTCAAACAGCCATGAGACTATGCCTACACTCACATTTAAACATATATAAGAAGAATTACATTCACTGAAGGTTGGGAGTTAGAAATGTGGGGGGAAGTAGGCACACAGGTTAATCAAGGGAAAAGAGATAAAGATGAAAGCAAAGCATTTTTAGACCCAGGTATTATGATGTCCCTGACAGAACTTAAAAGGTTTCATCTGCTGGTTTTCATCTAGAATACAAATTTTGGCTAGTGCATGCATAATATCCGATCTTATAGGAAATCTCTCAGAGCTGCATCTTTCATATCATATTTTCAGTCAATTTAACAAGCTCTCACTGCCTGACTTAGTGATATGCTGATGGCAGTGATGTCTCAGGCATTCATGATTTTCCAGTGTCCTTAACCAAAATAGAAGTGGACCCAGGAGACAAACAGGAATGTTGGAAAACAAGTAAGCAAATAGAAAGAAAGGAAACAAGATCATAGATAAAGATGGAAATGCAGGACCCAAAGGAAGCCGTCAGGAGATGAGGCACAACAGGAACAGGCCAAGGTGAATCAGGCAACATCCAGAGAAGAGGAAGTTGAAGACAGAAGAAAAAGAGAAATTCAGTACATTACAGACTGTGATCAACACTATCACGTATCAGAAGAAAAAGTAAAGATAGTGCCTAATTTGCCAAAGTAGAAAAAATGCATTTACTTGATACATTATTCATTCGTTCCTCAGAACAAAACAGTAGTCACATTAAAAACAGTCTAAGTATGTACATATATATCATTTGATCATCAGCAGGCCAGCTTTACATTTTTCACATTTCTTTAAAAAACACTATTTACAGCATTTTTGTTGACTGATGGTGTAATGGTTCCTCTTAGCTTCATAAAATTTCAAATTTTTCTGAAATGAAAATGTAGATTTTGATGAGCAATGACTAAAATAAATAGGTAAACATTTTGAATGTTGATGTTATATAGTGTAGTGGGTTGGTTCACCCAGATTATGAATTTACTGTCACTCCATGACACTTACTCTGTTGTTTTCCAGTGTCCAGGGTGAGAAAGCCTGCGGTTGAGTTTAGGGAGTCTGTCCAGCATGCCTGCTAGCTGGGTGAAAGGTGGCCTGTCATCTGCCGTAAGGGACCAGCAGGCAGACAGGATCTCCTGTTGGGATGGTAGGTAACAGATAGAACATGGTGATTGGTTGGTAATCAAATTTTAATCAATATGAAAATAATAATAATATAATCAATATTAATACTTTTAATACTTTACACATGTTGCTATCCAGAAGATGCCTTTTAAGAAAAGATTTTTCTTATTTCAAGACAATGCTAAACAAAATTTGTTGAGAACTGAAATCATTTGATGCATGGTGATGAAACTGAAATTTTACAAATTTATGCCTTTGCTTTCTTTCTTTTCTTTTCTTTTCTTTTTGATGTCCTCCGAAACCCGAGTTGCTGCTTCAGCTACTGCCTGGACCACATTTAGTTTGGCCTTTTGGTACCCATCAGCTTCCTCTGAAGTCCTACAGGCTAATCCAACCTGATAAGACTCCTTTTTCAGCTTGATGGCCCCATCACCACCACGAAAGCCATCAACCACTTAGGAGCAACAGCTTGAAACAAGTCCTTGGCGGACGAAGTTCGCCCTGAGTTCCAAAAGCCTATGGAAGCTGTAGGGCTGTCTTGTTTGACACGGCTCTATATTGGCAGACTGGGGTGGCGGTTCCTATCTTTAGGATTGGGAACCAGAAGGTGTACTCCAGTTACAGTTACAGCAGCTACACTCCTCAGCCTCCCTGGAAAGGTCAATGCTATGGCACTGGAAAGAAGAGCTTGTCTGTTAGTTAAACCTAGGATACAGGAGGAACAGTGAAGATTTCATCCTGGTTGCAGAACACTGTACAAGCTCTTCAAACTCTTAAATATATTTGCAGGTGAGAGTTTGCCCAATGAGTCTACGTGTTTTTAGCAGACTTGGAGAAAGCTTTTTCCTGCATCCCTTGGAGTGCTCTCTGAGGGCCGTCTGGTCCGTAACTATGAGCCATTTGGTCTCTGTACAACTGTTGGTCTGCCTTACTGGCAATAAGCCAGAGTTGTTCCCCGTGGGTGTTGAACTCAGCTAGGCCTGAATTAGACCAGACCAGTGGTGAAAGTAACAGCTACATAGCCCATGTGTATCCTAGAACCGGATGTTGATGTAGTGGAGAAGTACAAGTAGCTGGGTGTAACATCAACAACAGTCTAAACTGGGAGACCAGCACAGAAGCTGTATAAATCACACTGAACAACTCTACAATACAACTGTGTGGCAAGGAAAGATGTGTTCAGTGTTTTATTTCTACCATTCGCTCTTACAACACTAGTAATGTCATTATGCTGTGCTGTGTTGATGTTGAAATGCAATACTTATGATTATTATGATGATTATTATTAATACTGCTGTTACATCAACAGCATTTCCCACATTAGGAACAAAGAAAATATATATTGTAAATTGTTGACAGTTACCAACAGGGTCAGTTTTTTCGTAGACATGATCTTCAGACTCACCGTGACCTCCTTGCCCAGATTGGACTCTAACAGCACATTCTTAATGCCTTCATTACGACCCACTAGCCAGATTATAGTTTCCACAGGCTGGTTGGTAATTGGCCAGTCTCGCATCTGCAGCTCATACCAGATTGTGCTGGAAATGACACAAGATCCTTTCATGTACTACATTATTTTACATTTTCTTACATCATGTGCTCAAATATGCAACATGGAGCATGAATAAAATAGAAACAAAGGTTTTAAAAAACTGTGTGCAGTTCTAGCTGAAAGTTGCACATCATGTCTGGATAGCTGAATTTATGGTTCTACAAAAACAACTTTACTATGTTAGCTGGCAACAGTAAAAATCCTGATTTAACTTCGAGAAAACCAAACAATCAAACAATTGTTATGTACCACAGAAAACACAAAAACAAGCTAATATAAAATTATAACAAAGTAAAGGTTAAGAACCTAAAAGGCAGAACTGCATAATATAAACTATAGCTTCAATATCACATTAATAGTTTCTAGTATAAATGGCACTAGTCAATACCCAAAAGCATAAATATCAGCAGCTTTGGAGAAAGGCAGCTGGTCCTCATCAACCTCTGGGCTCAATTTTCGAACAATTTCTGGAGCCAGGTAGCAGATCCAGCCCTGTGGTATCCGCAGCACATTCTTTCTTCTAAACACAGAAACACAGAGAAGAAGAATTAGGAGAAAAAACATGGCTCACCATAAATTTATTGCCAAATGCAGTTTCTTTCACTCTTACCTGCCTTCTTGTACCACACCAGACATTCCAAACAGGCCAAAGTCTGTAATCACCACCTTGTTTGTGTCATAGAACACATTCTTGGACTTCAGATCCTTGTGAACGATGCCTTTAGCATGAAGATAACCCATTCCCTGCAACAAACAAAGATTTTCTGAACAAAAGATATTCCTACATTCACAAAAAGAAAATGAAGACGACCCAACAGTAGATATTTTTAGTTTATATGTTTAAAGCCTTGTTGTGTAGATTTTTATTTTACGTGTGACACTAAACTTTTTCAAATTGTGGCACTGGGGATGAGGGGAAGCACCAAAACATGCTGAAGTGCAGCATGTTTCAATCTTGACATTGTATCCAAAACAGTACATTTTCCTACTTGTTATATAATGTACATAGTGTATGTTTGGCATTTCTTGGCTACAATTCCATCTTATTTATCAACCAATAGAATATGCAGGTATTACTTACCTTAACGATTTCCTGTGCAATCTGTCTGGTTTTATTTATGTCCAGCAGGTGACCTCTTTCTCTTACAACAGAATACAGAGTCAGACCCTTACAGAAACTGCAGAGGAAACACATGCAGTATGGTTACAAAATAAACATCACATCACAAAAAGTCAAAAAAGCAGCAAACAACTTTTTGTATAGAACTTTATATACAACAGTGCACATATGCACTTGTTGTTGGAACTGCACTTGAAATGGGGGGAAGCCAGCATGAGTGACAATGCAGTGTTTAGGTGAGCAGTCATGCAGCAGTACCTGGTGATAATAGCAAGATGAGGAGGAGCCATGCATGCACCCATGAACAGGATGACGTTCTCGTGCCTGGTCTGCCTGTAGTTCATAACCTCTTTTTTGAAGACTTTCAGATGATCCTGATTGTTGCCATCAATCTCTAGAAGGCGAATGGCCACCTCACCATGCCAGCGACCTTTATGCACCTTACCCCAGCGACCCTGGACATAAAGCCAAAATTTAAATTAATAATAATGTTTTTTCTTTTCATTTTTTGAACAGGATTTTATATTTCTACGATACAAATCTGCTTTCACCTTTCCAATAAGCTCTCCCAGCTGTAGTTGCTCATACGGGATGTCCCACTCCTGGAGGTAGACACTGGTCTGGCTGACCTTACGAGAGATGGGGACCCCAGAACGGCCAACAGCCTGACGGCGGCATATAGAAGAGGGTAGATCATCCAGACCATCTTCATCATACTCTTCCTTGGAATAACTCTTTTTTGTGTCAGTCTGGTCAGCTTCTTCTTTATCCATAGCTGTGTAATCTTCCTCTCCTTCCTCTCCTTCCTCTTCCTGTAACACATGGCAGAAGAATGAAAGTGAACACTGATGTTAAACACTTTGATATCTATTACTGGAAATAGCAGCACTTGGTATACAAATGTGAAATAGGTATTGCAGTCTTGTAATTCTCCATTCAGACCAAAAGTGTTTTGGATAGTTATACAATTCTTGTGGTTGCTGGAAGAAATATTTGATGGAATAAATAACATCCATCAGTATGAAGAGTATGAAAAGATTGCTCCACTGGGATGCTGCTCCCTTTTAG